AGTACTTTACCCTTAAGAACTGGAAATAAGCCAAGTGCCCATTAACACACGAATGGATGAATACACGGAGGCAAGCTACTCGGCAGTCAGAAGAAGCGAATCGGCCACACACAGAGCGACGTGACGAATCTCAAAATAATCACACCCAATGAAAGAAGCCATACAAAATAAGAGTACCTACTGCACGATTTTATTTACGTAAAATTCTAGTCAGGACAAACTCATCTACGGTGACAAGGAACAACTCGGTGCTGCCTGGGGAGAGGGGTGAAAGCGGGCAGGGGGAAGGTGACCAAGGGGCAGGAGGAGAGGTTTGGGGTGATGGATATGCACGCTGTCTTGATTGTGGTGATGGTTTCATGGGTGCAAACATAGGTCAGAACTTATCACAGAGTATACTCTCCATATGTGCAGTTTATTGTACATCGATTAGACCACAATAAAGCTTTTTCAAGTGCCATGGCTTTCAGCCAGGCTGGGTTGGATTTAGCCTCCTGATTCAAGCAACTAGAAAACTACGCAAAATACTTAAAACAGTGATTACGACACACTGGACAGGACAAGCAGCAGCGCTGGAGGGTGACCCTGTGAGGGAGGAGACGAAGGCAGCGGGCCCAGGGACCGCTCCAGTTCACTGTCTGGAAAGAGTTTCCAGGCCTTGGCCCAGAAAGAGAAAATCCCAAGAAAGGCCACAGTCTCCCTCTGTCGAGAAGGCAGAGTTTGGAGCTCAGAGGGGCCAAGTGACTAGAACTGAGAGGAGGGAGGACCAGAGAGCTGCAGACGGTCCATCTGAGGCGTCAGCTAAGTCCTGCTCTGTACATGCATGTGACGGAAGGGAAGGACTTTCTGGAACGCAGCAGGTGGAACGATCTGGGGCTCACACAACGCTGACAAGAGTTCGTGTTCCCAGCGGCCAGTGTGGAAAGACCACCCAACTGTGGCCCACCGGGCACACTCTTCAGAAAGGGCCTCCCTCAGCAGTGGGGCCAAGTGAGCCTGAGACAAAAGGCTGTTCTGGACCAGCACCAGCAAAGCTTAAAAGCCTCCAAAGGATCAAACCAATTCCAAGTAACTTGACCATGACCCAGGACAGAAAAATCTCTAATAGAGACCAAACCAGGAGGAAAATCTCTAATAGAAACATAACTAGAATTTACACAGATGACACAACAGACAAGAATAAATAAAAGGGAGGTTATAAAATATTTTTAAGTGAATAAAATCAAACCACATCTATCAAAATTTATTGCGCCTAAGCACACACCTAATGTAGTGCTTAGAGGGAAATTTATAGTATTAAACTCTCATCACAAAAGAAAAAAAAAGTTAAATATCTGGGAGTGGTATGGGAAGGGTATGACTGACAAGGAATAATAGCATGAGGGAAGTTTTGGTTGATGGAATTGTAATGAATCCTGATTATGGTGGTATTGACCAAACCCACACCTGTGCTACAATTCATACAACTACGAACAAAAAAGATTAATTTCAGTACATGTTAAATTCTTTCAAAAAAAGAAAAAAACTGATTAGCTTAAAAAATCAATGATCTCAGCGTCCATCTTAAGAAACTACAAAGAGAGGAGTAAATTAATCTGAAGTAAGCAGCTAACAGTGAGAAATAATGAACAGAAATTAATAAAGCAGAAAACAGAAAAAGACTACAGAAAAATCAATGAAACCAAAAGACAGTTCTTTGAGTATCCATAAAATTCGTATGAAATTGTTAAATCTTTAGCCAAACTGATCAGGAAAAAGAAAATGAAGACCTAAACTACCAATACCATGAATTAAAATGGGGACATTACTATAGATCCTACAGACATTGAAAGGATAATAAAGGAACATAATGAACAAGGGTATACCAATAAATTTGACAATTTAGATGTAACGACAAATTCCTTGAAAGACACAAGCTATCAAAGTTCACTCAAGAAGAACAAATAAAGCTTCATTAGCCCTGTATCTACTGAAGAATCTGAGTAGCTAAAAATCTTCCCTCAAAGAAAACTCTAGGCCCAGACGGATTCACTGGTGGATTCTACCAAACAGTTAAGGAAGAAATCATACCAGTTCTATAAAAACTGTATACAATCCAGGAGTAGGAAATGGTTCTGAATTTATTCCATAAGGTAAACATAACTCTGAAAGCAAATAAAACAAGAGAATTATAAGACCATAAACAAATATCACTCTTAAACATAAATGCAAAACTCCTTAACAAAATTTTAGGCAGGTCAAATTCAGTAATGTATAAAATGTGCCTGCCACATTAGATGGGACTAACAAATCCCAAGTGAGTATCACCTGAAGGGATCAGAAAAAACTTCCTTGCAGCTAGACCCTTGACAGGCAAGCAGAATCTCAACAGGTGGGGACACTGGGGTCGAGAAAATGGCAGGAAGAAACACAAACGAATGTAAGAAAGTAGAAGACTAGCCAGGAGCAGGTAGGCGTGTTGGCACTGACCGGGATGGCTGCCAGGCTTCCAGAGAAGCTCACTGCTCTGGGAACAGTCCCAGTCCCAGGGCCCTGGGGCCAAGTCTGTGCTATATGACCCTGACCCCCAGCCATGACTGAATGTTCCAGAGTTAGACACACCACCAAAAGCTGCAACAATCAGATCTCTTGCCCAAGAATGTGAAACCTGAATGGAAACAGACTCCCAACCTGGGATCTGCTGGGGCCAAATCACAATCTGCCTTGAGGAAGTCCCCAGAGCTGGTTGGTTCCTGCCCTTCCCTCTGTCTTTCAGCAACTGCTCAGATCCTGGGAGCTGGCTCAGGGGCCTTCCTATAGACTTTCCCTTTTATTGCTTTAAGTTAATGAGAAGTAGTTCCTGTCGCTTGTAACCAGAACTTTAAGGAGTTCAGGGAGTACCGTGTCAGTATCCCCAAGTTTATCTCTGTGAAAGAGTTCTACCACTAGATAAAAATTTGCACCTAGAGCCAAAGGTCTGTGAAGGGAAGTCAGAGGAACCAGATCAAGTTGGAATGGTGGGTGCAGTCTGGATACTTAAAATGCCAGGAAGAGGAGGGAGGAGTTTAAGGGAGAGATGAAGGCACGAAGGGATTCTGAACGGGAGGGACACGGTCCACACCGTGTCACAGAGGATCTCCTGGCAGTGCCATGGAGCACGGATTACGAAACGGCCGTATGTTAGACCCGTACGGAGGCTGGGATGATGGCCACTGGAATGACGTGCCCAGACCTCTCTTGCCCTCGTGCCTCTGGCTCTCACCTGCAGCATCTAGCTTCGAGCCAGGCACCAAGCCACACTTGGTTAAATTCTGCTGATCAGACAGCTGAAGAGGGAGGACTGACAAAGGCTGACGACTAAATGCTAGATCAAAGGAGGGAAGGAGCTAAAGGTCATGGTAGTTTCAACTTGGTAGGCAATCTGAACCGAACCAGAAACGGCAGGAAGCGTGATGAGGTCAGGGTATACTTCAGGGAACAGCACACATTGTTCCAGGTGCCACTGAAACACCTGAATAGGAGTCTCCAGCATGCAGCAGGCAGGAGCTCGGACTGCAGAGGGCATAGAAGTCAGGTGCCGGGGAGCGGTGGGCGGCACCTGGGCGGGAGTCGGTCGGTCTCATGGAGTTCTGCTTCCGCCCAGAAACTGAGGGCTCCTGCGTGCCACTCACCACGCCAGGGGCTGGAGGGGATCGCAGAAGCCACGGGAGCGAGCAAGATGGGAGGAAATGTCAGCAGGATTCCGAGCCTGCTGGGCACCTCTTAGAGGTCTCCTGCCGGGTGCACAATGACTTACACATGACAAGAGCCATCACGGTGGGCCCTCTCCACGGTGGGAAAAGCCTGGAAGGAGTTTCGGTGCTGTTCAATAAGGGGATGATGGCAGAATAAATGATGCACAGACATGACGATCAAAAAGAACAAGGAAGTTCTCTAGGAACATGATGCGTGGATACATGACGATGTCAGAAAAACAGGGTAGGGACAACTAGGGACACCTTGTTTACGGTTCAGTGCGGGGCAGTCATAGAAATAAAATCCTATACGCTCGTACTTGGGTCTGCATGGAGATCTCTAAAGAGACACGCAAGAAACTGCTAACACGAACTGCCTTGAAGAAGAGGGTGGAGGACAGAGATGGGAGGGGAGGCTTTACTTTTTATCGTATATATTTTTGCCACTAGTCCACTTATTTATCAGGGTTAAAGATTTAAGAGTAAATATTTACTATGTCGAGGGTTTCTTAAACGTTTCTAGGCATAGGCTGTCTTAGTAAAACCCACATCCACCTCCACACCTCCCAATTAGCTTATGAAAAACCTCCTAAAACGTCACCTGCTACAAAGTCTCCTCTACGCCAAGCCCAGCTCCTGGCAGAGGCCAGAAAGAATGTTCTTGATTTCTTTGCAGAGATTCTGATGTGGAGGTTTCAGAACCTACCGGTGTCAAGCCAGGTGGGGGGTACACCAGAGGCCGTCCCCAGGGAGGAAGTGAATGAATGAATCCTAACCAGATCTGTCAGTTCCACAGGACTCTGATCCTGACCACTCCACCTCAATGGGGGAAGCCAGAGAACCACACCTTTCTTCAGAAAGGAAACCTACAATTCCACCCAATCTGCCCAGAGTCTATTTTAGCCCTCAACCCAGAGCAAGAACTTCAGCTATTATAAATAGCAAAACCAAGATCACAATTTGACTGATTTCAGTTCTGATGTTAGGAAAAGAGGTCGGGTGCTCAGCCGGTTGTAAAAGCGAGGGGTCGAAAGAAAACCACAGTGTGAAGACAGTCATAGCAGGTTAGACGCTCACTAGTACCCTTCCTCCCAGCCGCCATATTGCCTGAGTAACCAATTCCTGTGGCTTTGGTCTGTGCAAAAGCACCTGAGAAATTCTGACGAGGCTGAAGAGAAGTTTCGGGGGAGTCTGCCAAAACCAGAAAGGGCATCCCTCAAGGAGAGCGGCTTTCTTTTTTTTTTTGTTCCACGAGGCAGAGGAGGGGGGCGAGGTGAGAAGGCTTACCTTTGTTATGAGACATGGCATAGAGGAGGCAGAGCACAAACAGTGCGTGGTAGTCGTCGTCCGGGCTGTCCAGGGCGTGGTACACCATATCTAGGAAGGGTCTGGAAAAGAGGAGGGGCACGCATGAGCCTCCTGGCGCACACGGTGACCACTTCTCTCCCACCAGCGCGCGGCGAGCCCTCTGAGTGCCGCGGCCAACACCAGGCGTGGGGGACGGGCTCTGCCCGTGGGAAGCTATCTCCAGGGGAAAGTGACAGAGGACCAGACCCCTTGGCACACAACAGTCGTGCCCCAGCTGTTCGAGACAATGGGGGTAAACGACGCAAAGCCCTGCTCCTGGGGCACTCCCATGCCGGTGAACAGACGGACCACATCAGCGCTGAGACGAGTGAGGAGGAAAGAAAGAACAGGAAGCGGCGAGGGAGACAGACAGCACCAGACAGAGCGCCGGCAAGTCCGAACAATTTCAGAACGTGGGCCCTGGAGACAGACTGCCTGGGTTCCAATTCGGATTCAGCCTCTCCTAGCTGCAAACCCTTGGGTCAGCTACCTAAAACCTGTCCGTTTGCCCATCGGGAAAGTAGGGATTAAACCCTCACAGGGTTCCGGTGAGGGTTCAAGTGAAACCACGAAGGGCCTTGAACACAGGCCCGGGTGCTCCAGTGCCAAGCGTCCTCGCGTGGAGCAGCGGACAGAGGATCCCCGTTTTGTGTTTTCCAAGGGCACTTTCTCCACGAGCTCGCTTTGGCAGGTGCTGGCCCAGCAATTTCTTGGACGGACTTTCTCTGACGGGCAAGAAGCGATGTGAGGCCTCAACTCTGATGCTTAGTGGAAATACCACAAACCGCACACCCCAAATGCTGCCCTTCCAGGGGAAGGGCCTGGTCTGGAGAGATAGAACAAGGATGTTCATCACAAGGATGACAGAACACGCACAGATACGGCCGCACAGGCAGGGGGCTCTGAGCCTGTGACCAACGGTGGCCGCCTCTCTGGATGCCAGGCCGAAGCCAAGAAAACAGAGCACCTTGGTGAATGACGGAGCATACGTAGCTCCTAGAAGGTCACACAGCCACCGTCCACACCACTGTGTACGGGGCAGTAAAGAGGTGTGGCAGACACACAGGGAGACGCTTCACTGCCTAACCTTTTAGACTTAACAAAAAAAAAAAAAAAAAA